AAGATTGTTCTGTCATTTGTTCCTACCAAACCAGCTGGGTTCCATGGACAATTCTCCTGGCCACATGAGCTAAGTTAGCAAATCCAGGTTTCTGCAGCAGCACCTGGTCACTGTTCTCCAGGGCTGTTAATTAATTACCTTTTTAAATTCTTTCAGCTTTTTATATAATAGCAGTGGTATAAGCAGAAACTCAGTTACCAACTGGGAACAGGTAGGTAGAAGGATGGAAAATCAAAATAACAGGAAAAAAAATGGACTTGATATATTCAATTCAGTTTCAGAAAAATAAAATAGTCTTAGTGGCAGAATCTCCATTTGCAGACATCAGATAAAATCTTGGTTGTAGTTAGATTGGCTATAATGTAGAGAAAAAGGAACAGGTCACTTTAGGGAGTGTATAACGGGCTATAGATTGTGGAGAAATGCAAATAACTGACTGACTTTTATTTGGTGGTAGAAAATGTGTCTCTGCTTTACAGGGTAAAACGAAGCTATGGAGGAGTCAGGGTTGGCACAATGTAGTGTACTTAGCATAGGAAAGGGGTTTGGGGGTTCAAACAATAACTTGGAAAAAAACTTATTTACTTTTTATTTCATTAACCTTTTTGATTGGAGTGAAGGGAAATTAATAACCTACAGAAATTAGAAGTCAAGACCACTTACTTACTGTTTTATTTCTGTGTTTACAGAAAATTTTTAAAAGAGGAATCCATGGTGTTTCTTGGGACTAAAATCAAATGAAGCACAGAATTTGGAGAAGGACTGACTGGTAAACCGTCTTCCTGAGAATGTACCTGACCCCACCTGCATGTCTAATTACATGCCTATCATCATTTTTAACTGTGATGTAAAAAAATGCTGAATGGTATTAAAGAGGAATTAATCCTTGTGCTATAATCTATAGTTGTTGGGCATTTAGTTGTTTATTTTCTCCACCTCTAATTTTGGCCACCACAATGTCAAATAGATGTAGATAAGGTTCAGATAAAATAACAAATTTAGGAATCCAAGCATGTGGAAATTGATGGTAAGAGGAAAGGTTAGTGTTTCTAAAAATGACTAGTTAGGAATTGTTTACAAACCTTTCTTCCTTTGCCTCCTTTCTTATTTATCTTTTGTCTGTCCACTTATTCATCATTCTTCCCTCCCTTAATCTGCTCATCCATCCATCCATCCATCCAAGTAGTTGCATTTACTCATTCACCCCTCCAATACATACTAACTAGAGGCATACCATGTGATGGGAGTGGTGTCAGGGAACCTGGGACAATAGAATAGTGTAAAACACTGATTTTCTCTGGAGAAACTTATAGCTTATTGCAGAGCTTCTCAGTCTTGGCACTATTGACATTTAGAGTTGGGTAATTCTTTGTTGTTGGGGGCTATACTGTTATCCTTGGCATTGTACAAAGTTTAGCAGCATCCCTGACTTCCACCCACTAGATGCCAGTAGCAACCCTGCAGCCTTTCTCCACCCCCTGTCCCAGCTGTGACAATAAAAAATGTTTCCAGATGTTGTCAAATATCCCCTGTAAGTAAGTAAAATGTCCTTGATAAGAACACTGTTTCAATGAGAGAGATGTAAAGGGCATATTTACCAGCATTTGATGAGTCTTATAATAAAGGTGCACATATTGGAGCTGTATTTGGATATATTCTGTCTTTGTTCCCACCTCTGAATTGCTAATATACCTCTGCAAAATAATTCTTAGTTCAATCCCAAAAGGAGATCACATGTTTCAGGATATTATTCATCATAACTCATGATTGACTTCTTTTGCACTACAGTGACTTTTAGTATTCCATGTGATAGATCCTCATTCAAATAAATAATTCAGCCAAATAGGTAATTAGACTTTATTGTTGCTTTTTCTACCATGCAGTTTATGTTGAAATGACTTGCAGAGATATTTAATATAAATGCTCTTTTTAAAAAAGTAGTTATTAACTATTAAACTATTAAAAATGAGCTAATGTATAGATCAGGATGGGAAGAGCTGGAATTTTTAGTCAACTCAGCAATTATTTTTTGGGGGGGAGGGTGTTTTTTTCTAAATTAAAATTTTTGATTACTTTTAACTGCTGTTATTATTACTTCTATATTTGTAGTTTTTAAAGCACAGACCTTTAGTAGTTTACATAACAAACAGGTTGGCAATAGTTGAAATAAACAATATTTCATTAAATCTTATAGGTAGAAGACGTTTGTACTGATTTGCTCATATAGCAGATAATATAGGCCTCTTATTGTTATACTTGCTTTGCTTATATCATTTCACTTACTGATGCTCCGGTGCTGTTTTTTCTTAAATTCTAGATTGAAGCATATCTTACTTTAGATTTTGGAGAGTGGTGATGGATTGTCATGGTTCTTTATGTATTTTTCATTCTAGAATTCAAGGAATCATTAGAATATTGCTTCAAATGCTTTCCTCCTCCTCACTTAGTCCTATAAATCTTTGATTATAGGAATTCTTTACCTATTGGCTGTGGGTGGAAGGGGAGGAATTTGCAATTTTCTTTTTGCTGAGGTTTCTGATAATCAGTAGATTTCAATGACAGCAGAGTTTTACTATAATGTTGACCATTATTAGCTCTTTATTTGCAGGGGTAAATATTTCCCACTTTTAATTTACCCTGGCTATATACCTATAAAAGAGAGGCTGAGAAGGATTAACTTTTTCTCTGCCTAACTTTTTTAGAGATGCAGGACAAACCTCTTAAATAGAGGTACAACTGACATTTAGCTGTAATATTCCAATGTTCATCTTTCGGGATGTTCAGTTGAGTACACACAGACTTCTCTCACAGCTGTAGATGTCTTGGTAGAATAAATGCACATAACACAGAAAGAGAATGACTTTCATGTTCCATTTGCTATCCAATGTAGTATAAGTGGCTAATATATTCTTTAGGAGCTATATCTGAATCTTTGTTCAAATGCAATCTGGTCTGTCCTTGGTAAATAGGCCTGTGTAGCCAACCATAGCAGAGAGGCATTTTGTCTTTTGGATGCATGCAGGGCTGACAGTAACTGAGCTGAGATTTTTCTGGCTAGAAGTAGAAGCTGATCTTTCTGTGGCTCTAGTATTTTGCTCTTTCTTTGCATTTTTGGATGTGTTTTGGGTTGAAAATTTTGTCACATTGTGTAGAGAGGTCAATGACTTTGCTTTAAGAAAATTAAATGGAGAATAGTTAGTTCTCTTCTCAAAAATTCCTACTGGGTCATAGCAACATTTCAGCCTGGCTATTATTTGTGCTATTGAGTCCCATATCTTTCTACTTGATGTGTAAGGGAGTGCTTCTTTTTATTTCCCACAGACTCCCTTCTTAAAGCTTCAAATGCCTCCTTATTCTGGAGGCCTTATTAAATTTGCTGACTAAATGTATATTTACTCTGTTATTACCTTTAATAATTTTTATTTTCATATGAAAACTCTGAAGTGAGATGTGCTATTTCACAGTCTTTAAATGGCCAGAGTTATTTATAGCCCTGAAAATTTCATCATGCATCATCTGAGTATGTCCAGGATATAACCACCTCTCATTACATCTACCTTTGTCCATCTGATCTAAGGCACCATCATCTCTTGCTTGGATTATTGCAATAGCTTCTAATAGTCTCCCTGGTTCTATCGTTGAGACTCTAAAGTGTATTCACAAATGCAGCAGCCAGAGTGATCCTTTAATAACGTAAGCTAGATTTTGTTGTTCCCCTGTTGGAACTCCAGTTGCATATCTCATTTGAATAATAACCAAAGTCCTATGGCTTATAAGACCCTACACATTACTCCTCTTGCTCCATCTCCCCTAAATACTCATGTTTAGCCTCTCTGGCCTCCTTATAGTTCTTTGAACATACCAATTCAGTTCACATCTCAGAGCTTTTACTCTCGCTGTTATCTCTGCCTGGAATATTCTTCCCCCAAATACCTTTATGTTTTGCTCATTCACCTGCTTTAGCTTTCTGATGAGTGCGCTTATCAGCAAGAAGTTTCCTATCAGTTCTATTTTATAAAAACACTTCCCATACTACCCTATTCACCTTCCTTGCTTAATTTTTCTCCATAGTGAAATCATTGACAGACATCCTATATATCTTTTTGTATATTTATTTTTTAATTGCCTTTTTTTTTCTGCCAAAATGTAAATCGTTGAGAATAGGGACTCTTGTCTATTTTGTTCTTTGCTATATTCCTAGTGCTTAGACTACTTCCTAGAACATAGTAGGTGCTTCATAAATGTTTGTTGAAGGATATGAATTAATAAATAGGACCTAATTCAGTCCAATCATTCATTCATTCAAATATTTTTTTTTTTACTATCTAATATTTGCTATATAGAGACAAAAATTTAAAGGCATGATGATTTATAACCTTGAGCAGTTTATAATCATTTGGAGGAACTAGACATGTGACCAATTCTAAATATAATAGTAAATGTGGATATATAAGTCATGAGGAAGGTTAGGCAGATGAGGCAGCATTTGTCTTGGATATTAATGAATTAATTATATTTTGGGAAGTATAAAATAGAGAAGGATAATTTCTGGCTTCAGGAAAAAAAAATCAGAGTCACAGGATCTTATAAGTCTCTTTGTCATAGAATAGTCCTCTTTGGCCTCTCTAGTATATGAGATTGGTTATTACTCCTCCAGGGAGAAGATAGCTAACATTGATCATACTGATAAAGCAATTTAACATTGAATGCCCTTTGTTTATGGTTTCTTCAGGTGCACCTATGGCTACCAGTCCACTAGATCACTCACCATTCGTCGTGCTAGCAAGACCACCTGGCAACTTAGTTACTCTCATGTGTGATGACAGCAGTAGTGGCCAACAGGATGTTATTTGATTTTTGTGAAATTCTAAGGTAATATTTGACTTCCAAAATTTACAATATATACTTTTTCATAGAGAGTATTAATATTACAGCATTGATTTGAGTAGTGTCATTTTCTTCCTTTAGGTAACAGGAGAGTGCACCTACCAAATGAGCAAATGAATGGAGCCAACTACTCTGTGGTGTCTGAGTTTGTGTTCCTGGGACTCTCCAGTTCCTGGGAGATCCAGCTGCTTTTTTTTTGCTTTTCCTGTCTCTTCTACATGTTTAGTATTATGGGAAACCTCCTCATAGTGGTCACTGTGACTTCTGATCCTTGTTTACACTCCCCCATGTATTTTCTGTTAGCCAATCTCTCCATAATTGATCTGATATTTTGCTCTATTGCAGCACCCAAGATGATTTGTGATCTTTTCAGGAAGCGGAAGGTCATCTCCTTTGGGGGTTGTATAGCTCAGATCTTCTTTAGTCATGCTGTTGGGGGCACTGAGATGGTGCTGCTCATCGCCATGGCCTTTGACAGATACGTGGCCATATGTAAGCCTCTCCACTACCTGACCATCATGAGCCCACGGATGTGCATTTTGATTTTAGTGGTTGCCTGGACCATTGGTCTCATTCATTCTTTGGCCCAACTGGCATTTGTGGTACACTTGCCTTTCTGTGGCCCTAATGTAATAGACAGCTTTTATTGTGACATACCTCGGCTCATCAAACTTGCTTGCACAGATACCTATAAACTAGAGTTCATGGTCACTGCTAATAGTGGGTTCATTTCTGTGGGTGCTTTCTCCTTGCTCATTCTCTCTTACATCTTCATCGTGGCCACTCTACAGAAACACTCCTCAGGTGGCTTATCCAAGGCTGCTTCTACACTGTCAGCTCACATCACTGTGGTGGTTTTATTCTTTGGTCCACTGATTTTTTTCTATATGTGGCCCTCTTCTTCAACACATCTGGATAAATTTCTAGCTGTGTTTGATGCAGTTCTAACTCCCTTTCTAAATCCAGTCATTTACACATTCAGGAACAGAGAGATGAAAGTGGCGATGAGTAGAGTGTTCAGTAAGCTTACGGGTTTTAGAAAAAAATCTTTAAACGGATTTATTGAAACATAAAATTTCCAAGTGACTATTCACAAATTTTCTGTCCCTAAATAGCCAACCCACATGAAGAATGCGCCGTTTCTCTGAGGTCTTATCTTGTTCTGTTGTTTGAAACACATTACTTTGTTTCTTCATTTTGCTGACTCGCTGTGTTGGCTTCCGTGCATTGGGTAAAACAGCCACCTCTCCCAGCCTTAAAGGAATCACTTCATATAGGAGATAATCCTTACTGTTCAACCCTACGCTAGCTCTTGGTTGTCTCTCAAAACTTTGTAATTTCCAAGCAGCCCATTTTATTTTTAATGGCTCCTAGTAGTTGAGGGTGTGCCAGGAGCTGTCAGTGTCCCAAAGGGAAAGATCTCAGTCAGTATCTAGACTCACCGTGATTGGAATTTAGACTCTCAGGTAGCAGCTTTAACAGGAGGCAAATATATACAGTCCTGTAGGATCACAAGTGTAAGCCCTGCTACCCACCAGTGCCAGGCCATCCCCTGGGCAGCAGTCACAAAAATTGGGGCTCCAGCCAAGTATATAAGCACATGCCCAGGAGGTAACAGTGAGCTGGGTGAGGCTGAGGGAGAACACAAGGATGGCAGGCACCTGCCTGCATTCTGAGAGCGTGTCTGTCCATGGGACCCGACATGTGGGTCAGACCCGAAGCCTGCCCCTCAGGCTGATGTGCTCCATGACAAGCCAAAAAGCAAAGGAGCCTCTCTCACACAAAGCCGGGACAGCCCTTGATCACTGCTGCCACGCTGGGCCCAAGGGCAGGTGAGTTTGAGTGCATATGCCCTTGAAAAGCCCTTTCTCACATCGTTATAGCCTTGAGGGCCCCCTGGACATGAGCCCCGTTGTTTTTCAAGCTAGATGTTTTGGGGGCTTGTTTCTCAGGTGCGGGTCTTAAAAGTTGGGGGTGCCTGATGTGGGGTTTGAACACTTTGCTCCTCAGGGAGAAGCTCCTACTTTTGATTTCCCTCCTAACTGTGGGTCTCTGTGCCAGCTGTGGGGTGTGTGGTGAGATTGTGATCCAGCCTCTCCTACCTGCTTAGATGAGGGCCTTCTCTAATTGACTCCACATGAGTTGCTCAGGCAGGTTTTTGGTTTTTCTCAGAGGAAGTTGTTCCATATGTAGCTGTAGATTGGGTATGTTTATGGGAGAGAGTGAGTTTAAGACCCTCTTACGTTGTCATCTGGGATTGGAACTGGGACCGTCTTTCTGCTATACACCATTGAATGTTCATGGACCGTCACCACCATATGCTGGGTCTATTCTGTTCTCACTAAAGAATGGGTGACGTTCTTCCCTGAAAAGAAAGAGGGACTTTTTTATATTATAGGCATAAAAATCAAGATTATATTAACACTTACTTTTCAGTTCCCAAATAATCGTGCCAATAATATCTTTTACACATATTAAATAATGATGTAAACAAGTTTGTTTCTCAGGAGAGCCATATTACTGTTTTCAAGCTATTCTGCCCTATAATTGGTACCTTTGTTAAAAACATACTTCATTATCTGTTTGTATCCCACATCTGCCTTTTCTCCTGTTCTGCTTTGTTATTTCATCTTTTGGTTATGAGTAAAAAGTAGCAATCATCTGTAGGATCTGTGGTTACATACACATTCTAATTCACAAATCTTGCTTTCATGCTTTGTTCCATATATTGAAGAATGTTCTCGACTTTATTTTCAGTCAAGCAGATGAGGTGTTGACAAAGTTAAAGGGGCAGATAGTAAATAGTTTTGGATTTGTGGGCTGTATAATCTCTATTGCAGCCATTCAATTCTTCTCTAGAAGTATTGAAATAGCCACAGACAACACACATGAATACACATTGCTGAGTGCCAATAAAACTTGATTTAAAAAAACAGGAGGCAGGCCAGATTTGGGGTGCCTAAAATATAGATTTGCCTATCTCCCCAAATATCATAGTCTTTGTCTTAAAACAAGAGTCTAAAATAAAGGGCAGTATAGCATCACACAAAATTTGCAGTTAAAATTCAGAAATTCTGGTTCTAACAGCACCAATTCACTTGCTGTGTTATCTTACCTAAGTCACTTGACTTTTCTGAATTTCAGTTTCAAATGCTGCAATACAGCTTATAGATTTATGGTTATGACTAAGTGAGATGACATTTGAAAGGCTTTATAAATTTTAAAATGAGCCTGGTTCCTTTCCTGGCCTGTAGCCATTTTCTTGGAGTCTATCAGTTTAAAAATAAAATTTGTTTTATCTTCTAATGCACTTTAAACTTACCTTCTACTTTGTACTCCCTCACCTCCTCACAAATATCTTGTGATGTATCTCTATTATCTTATCTTTTCATAGTATTGTGGTATGTACTTTCATTGCCTCGTGTCACCTGCCAAATTGAAGACTTAATAGTTTACTTCCTTCTTCAGTTTATTGGTAAAAATAATAATGGTAAATATTTACAAAGTACATACTATGTGTCAGGCACTACTCTGAGCTTTTTACCTGTGTTAATTTATTTAATCCTCATAGCAATCTTATTCTTACCCCATTGTACAGATTGGGAGATGGAGGCGCAGAGATATTAAATAATTTATCTAATATTTGTAAATGAAAGATTTGAGTTTAAATTCAGGCCATTTGGTTCCAGAGCCTGGATTTTTAATCATTGTTATTTTTCTTCCTATAAAATTGGTTTAATATTGACCCCTGGAGAGGCCTAGCTTACCTTTCTTCATTTAGAGCCAATGTGTCTATATTCTCCCCCCCCCATATTTATGTCAGTTCCCTGTTGATAATAAAACAATTCTAATTAAATAAATTATGTTATGAACACAGTAGAATTATATTATGTGCATAGAGCTCAGCCATTATATAATAAATATTAAATAACATGAATAGTTGATCAAGATAGATTAGTAAGTGAAAAAAGAGGTAACGAAACAAGATTTAAAATTTGGTCTGTTTTTAAAATAAGCTATGTACATAAGCCAAAATGTTAATAGTGATGTTTCTCCCTGGGGGAGGGGGTATGGGTGGTTTTTTATTATCTTGCATTTATCTGTAATTTTTATATTTTTAATAATAAATGTTATAATGTAATAATGAAAGAACCTACTAAATTAGTCAAATATATTTAAAAAGTATTGTAAACGCTAATGTATTTCACAGATTTTTTTATATTAAACCTTGACAAAGGCATTTTGCTAGACTATGTAAATTATAATCACTGGCTGTGATTATTTGCCTCCATACTTGAGCTCTAAAAAATTCTGACAGCCATGAGTTTTAGTTTCAAAAATTACCTTTTTCCTAATATGTTTCTGGTGATCCTATAGATATTAAACATTTTATCATCCTCTCTGATAAGAAAGTATATCTTCTTAGTTGTCTGTAGATCCTTCATTCATTGAGTGAGTTTGGGTCAACCTCTGAGTCTGGTACCACTGGAAGTACCGGGATGCTTATACATGCAATTGCTGTACCCTTTAAAAGTGGAGGTTACAATCAATAGCAATCACTAATTCTCTGCAAAATCCATGAGAAAATGCACTTTGGATTGGCTGATTCCAGTTTTAACCTTGTGTAGTTATTGTTGAAAATAAGAGTGAGACCAACTGGAGTTGTCACCAAGAATGTCCTGCAGGCTGACATAAAGGCAAGCACTGAAACCCAATCATGCAGAAAAAAGTTAAAATCTTCTTGGCATTTTTATAAAGTAGACAAATATGATAATATTCACATGGGAAAATATAGCAGATTTCATGTAATTGGTTTATGTGCCTCTTAATGATAACTGTCTACTGTATGCACAGTAGCGTTCCAAGACTTCTGAATAGATGGATGCTATATAAATATTATAAGGTGCCTTTGACTTTGGAAATTTGCAGTCCAAGGGAATTGGGTCTTTGGAGAAAGAAAGATAGTCTATTTTCATCGTAAGTTAGTGGAAGGAGACAAACAATGAAATGAGAAAGAGGCTTCCTCCATGTGGATTTAGCAACAGTTTGGAATAAAGGGCAAATTAACCTTATACTCTTTGAACAAATCTACATGGTGTTGATTGATTAGATTATTAGGCTTCCAAAGTCAGAGATATAGTTAGGGGTAAAAGCACATTAATGAGGAGAATTCGCAGAAGAATGTTGTAAAAATCTCTAGACCTGGATGTAGCTTAGACACCTATATTTTTATGTCTTAGTAGTCATTTAATTAAAATTGCCATTTGTAACCTGGAAGTATGAGTCTCTGATGTATGCTTTTTATTCATGCTTTAAGCTGGTATGAGCTAACTTTTTAGAGCCCAGCTTCATCCGTTCTAATCAAGGATTTGTAAATTCCCTTATTAATTGTCTACACACAAGGTAAAATTTAAAGGAGCATGTTAAATTAAAAAGCATGGCAAGTAGTTACCTTCTAAGGAGAGAGACTATGAGCCAAGGAAGTTTAAATGTTTCTGAAAGTTTGATTTTAAACTTTAAAGTTTCATTTTAATTAGAGAATTACATTTCTCTTTTCCACTGAGCCAGAAGGTTGAAGATGGCATGGACAATGGAGTTTTTGTATAAATAAGAATGCCCCATTGCAGGAAGTAATAGTATAAAGCCCTTACCAAGGTGCTTGCTCCTGGTACTGCCCCCAAATGGAACTTGGGAGGAGTACGACGGAGTCATTCTAGAATGCCAAAATTAGTTTCCAACGTCAAAGAAAGAATATTGGAAATGATACAGATGTAAATTGCACAAAGGTAATCTCTGGCATTTCCAGGATACGTCTTGTAGCCCCAGATGATTTTAAGTAGAACCTTGTTATGATTTTACGTGAACTCATCCACTAGTGTAAGAACAAATTGACCATCATTCTAAATCAATACCAAAAGGGAAATTTTAGGAAAATCACGTAGACTACCTCTAATATATGAACCATCTTCCAACAATGTAACCCCAGTAAACCTCTAAAAACTGGGCATACGTGGGAGCTAAAATCTCATTGCCCATT